CCACATGTGACTGACTTGAAGACAACGAGCGATTTAACCATCATGGCCTACCTGGCACATACCCACCGACCTTTGTCCCACACTTTCCGGAAATAAACCTGGAAGCCTTCCCTCCCCCCAACACTTTGGAGATGTCTTCGAGATGCTAGCCCGCCGTCTTCCCGGGCTCAGCCTCATGGCAATAAACTCTCTTGTTTCACCACCGCTCATCTCTCTGCCTCTGGATTTAGTCAGGGGCAAGTGGCTGAACCTGCTTTGTTTGGGTCCCCAGGGCCACGTGGTCCTGCACCCCGCGTGCGGGCTACAATGCAAGTGGAAGAACTTACTCAGAGAGGTCTACAGTGAGAACAAAGTCAAGGACAGAGCTCCAGGTTTCACAGCCTGCAAATAGGTGGAAGGTGGTGAGAGTCCCAGCGTTAAAGAGGCCAGGACAGAGAGAACAACCAGAGGGACTGGCCAAGCAACTGAGTGTGCCTCAAGTAGTGGACGTGTCCAGGCCCACGGTGGGAGAAGTGGGGGGAAGACATGACTGGGGCTGGGCGGCGACAGCATGTGGAAGCTTCGTTACCTGAAATCGGAACTACCCTCTCTTCCCATCCAGCCGGCTCTCTGCACCCCGCCTATCCCTGTCTACCACAGGACTCTACCTTTCCTCCTCAGATCCGTCACAGCTCCTTCTGGCAAGTCTTGACTGCCCTCATCATACCCACATTACCGTGAACAGATCAGAAGCTCTGGCAGGTCATGTGCTGTTCATTTACCCTGTCTCCTGCACAGGCCCTTCGAGCGGCAGCAGCTCAGTGATGTGCCTAAATGTATCAGCCATCTCAAGGGAGCACTGCTGGACAGGTCATGCCTTGCTAATGCACACCGCGCTTTTCTCTGAAAGAGCGGCGAGAACCTGGTTTGTCCTGGTTAAGTATTATCACTGCTCAGAACACGGGATTATCCTACTCCAAGTAGCCGCAAAGACAACAGAAGTGTGGGCCTCCAGTTCCGCTGTGTCTCTAGCCAGGCACTTTCTAGCACCCAGCCTGGCTCCAGGTGCCAGCCCGAGAGGCAGGGAGACGACTCCCCCCGCCCCCAATCTGGCAGCTGTCTGGACTCCCACTGTCTGAACTTCACCGTTTTCAACTTTCTCGAGACAGTGCTCCTATTCCCCAGGAAAGTTCTAACGGGCCCATCTGGTGGGTTTAAGAATCCCCACAGTTACAGTCAAGCTGGAGCCCACCCTCTCCGGGAAGTGGCAAAGCCTCTGTGTCTGAGCGGGGAGCTTTGTTCACGCCCAACTTTTCTGCCACCACTTTCTCCTCCCACAGGAGAGAAACGTTTTAAATCCTTGGGAAGCAGCCACACTGCTGAGATTATCTTTTAATTTTGAGGAGGCAAGTGTCAAAGTGATATTGTGTGATCTGGCAATGCACGACACTGAAAGGTTTTGTCTATTCAAGTGCCGCCAGCCACTTTACTCCCCCTCCTCGAGATCAACGCTGTCTGCCTGAGGCAACGTGGCAGATGCGCCCAGGAGGAAAGTGGCCCTGGCACGGGCCTGGGTGACCTGCTTGCCAGCAGGCTGCTGAAAACTCCAACCAGCGCGCCAGTGCCCACCTCCAGCCCTCTCCTTCCCCACCCAACAAGCCCTTCCAGAGAAGCTTTGAGGAGCAAACCCAGAGAGGGCGGAGCAGAGGCACAGAATAACAGGGGGGTGAGGGAGTGCTGGGAAGGTTGTGAAATCCATAATCCTTGGCTTGCAGTTTCCTGCTTCCTCCTGGAAGTTTGGTAAAAACCTTTGCTGTGCTCTTGTGACAACTCTGTGCTCACAGCTCTTACTGGGCAGGGAGTTTGCTAAGAATCCCAATTATAACTCTAGGCAAAGAAGCCTAGGCTTCTTTAAATTTAAAGGCACAGCGGAAGTTGCATGGCCTATTACAAGAGCTGGCAGAAAAAGGATTCCATTGCTGGATAACTCTGGGAAGTGCTGGGTCAGACAAAGTTGAGCAAATGTCTTTACTGTAAGATTGTGCAGAGCCTTTCACAAAATAACAAGCCTTGCCAATCTGCAACAAAAATGGAATACAGAGTGATTCCCAAATTTATTTGACTACATAACCCTGAGTACCTTTCAGGACCGGTATTACTCAGAAGCTATGCTGCTAAAAAGCACAGTATAATCTGTATTATTCCAGCCCCACACACTGTGGTGGGGGGGAGGGACTTGCATAGCTAACCCTAATTAGTGAATACTAATTAAAACTCACTTAACTAGTACTAATCAACCTTACCAGTACTCTAATTTCAAGAATGGGGGCAGCTGGGGCACCTGGGTGGCTCAGTCGTTGGGCATCTCCCTTCGGCTCAGGTCATGACCCCGGGGTCTTGAGATCGAGCCCCATCAGGCTCCCGCCTCAACTGGGAGCCTGCTTCTCCCTCTCCCACTCCCCCTGCTTGTGTTCCCTCTCTCACTGAATCTCTCTCTCTCTGTCAAATAAACAAAAAAAAAAAAAAAAAACAGGGGCAGTGATGATGAAGATACATTCTTTCCTTAGCAGGCCTAAATAACCAAATAACCCCAATGCAGTTTAAGACCAGTATGTGCTCCTTCCTGCTGCGAATTAGCTGGTAACTCTAGCATGCCCCGTCCTCACCGGGTTCCTGGTTTCCTCCTCTCTAGACTAAGGGGTTACAATAGATTTCTGAGGATGCCCTGACTCTTTAACAGTCCACCATGGACTCTGAACACTAAGCATACTTTCATGACCCACCATGGAGTGACAGAAAACATGACTCTGCTCTGAAAGCTAGTTAGGTGTGACAGTTGTGGAGCCTATCGCCACTCCCCTTACTCTCTCCTGAGCTCTGTGCTAACACCCTGGGTAAATGAAGCTGGGCTTACACCTAGTCACCCCAGGGCTACACCCTCCCAATGTCCCAGCCCTGGAAGTCAGGGAAGCAAACACTTCCATCACAAGGATGGGGAGGGCGGCTCTCCAGGAGAGCTTGAAGGCCCCACGTCCAAAGCTCCTTCTCCCCGTGGGGCTGTGTGCCAAGAGGAAAAACCCAGTCCAGTGTAAGAAGGAACAGAGTCACAGCCAGCCAGCTTCCGTCTTCCCACACAGGATTCCCCAACAGATGCTGCTCTTTACAGGACCACAGCTGCTTCCTGTCCTGCCATATCCTGGAGCTGCCTGACGGACAGACTGTCTCGCTTGAATGCAGAAGTTACTTCTACCACAATTTGCACAATCACTCCTGGAGCTGAAGATGTGGTTTAAGCCTAAGACTTTCAAGCTGCTATTAATACAGGGCAGCACTCAGGCCAATTATCTCGTCCACTGCTACCGCTGGAGACAAATTCTCTGCATCTCCGGAGGACTGCCTCTCAGATAGAAACAGACATTTTATTTCTGATTCTGACAGGAAAAAAAAAAAAAAGAAAAAAGCCAACCATTACACAGAACGCATTCCAAGAGACTACTAGATCCTTACTAAAACTCAAAGTCCAGTGTTACAAAGCAGTTTTGTAATTAAATTAAACTCTTACCAGATGACACTGACAGAAAAGAAAGATGCAAATATTTTCTCTTTACTCAGCTAATAGAGATGAGACAAGGTCCCTGCAAAGGTTCCATCAAGAAGCATTAAGCCGCAAGAGGAATGTTCAGGAAGTTACAAAGACCAAGCTACTAAAATTTGCCCTGAGGGCTCCCTTTGACTAAATACCTTGAGACCAAGAAAGACGGATAGAATGTTGACTCTGATAGTATACAATTATTCCCTGCTGGTCTCCTTTGTCTTTGCTCTGATCCTTGAAGGAATTCAAGGTGAGAAAACTCATGCAGAGAGTTGCAGGAGGACCCCTCTAAGTACTTCCCCGACACCTGCAGGAAACTTTGCAGCTGCCAGTGAACAGAATAAAATACAAGCATGATGAGTTAATGTGCCTGGTGACATCCTGACAGAGCAGAAACCTCGGGGCTCATAAATCACCAGTCAGCGCAATTAAGCTTCCCTAGAACTGGTTTTGAGCAGACATAAAATAAGAGGCACAGGAGATCTGGAGCTAACAAGCTTCACAGGCTTTCCAAAGCCCTTTACTGGGGAAAAAGAATACCCCTGCACCCTCAGCTCAAAGGTAGAAAGGTTTCAGCTTTAAGTAGGAAGACTTCTTCCGCGATCCTTTGCTCAAAAGATCAGGCCGGCTCAAAGGTCAACACATCTCAACTACCCTAACAACACACACAGGTCCATCAGATCGCACTTCTTGAGCTTCAAGACCCTGAGGCCCTCCCCACTCCCTAAACCTGGGCTCTCTCTCCTATCTAGCCAAATCCCAGTCCAAACTAGACCCAGGGCCAAGGTGTGGCATTCTTATCAAGTCCATATTTCAGTGTGCGTTGGCTACCCACCCTCTCCCAACCTTCCTTTCCTAGCGAATCTCAGTGGGTCTCCTACACCATGTGGAGACTAGTTTGTAGGGTAGTTTGGCTCTTCGGCGGAGGCTGGGGGAGGGGTAGGGGGGTGGGAGGAGAGCTGAACTTGGGATCTTCCCACATTCCTCCTTCCCAGCAGAGGCTTCCACCTCTCCATTATGTTGTTTTCACCCCCTTTCCTAACGTGACTCAAGGAAGATGTCTTCCCAAGACGGCGGGATGGGGTAGCCACACTTCCCCCTCAGTTGAAGTCGCTTCTCTCCCCGACACTGGGGGTCTCCCTGACTGCGTCTGGTTCAGTTCCTTTCCCTAGCAGGGTCCAGCCAGAGGGGCGACACCCGGGGAGCTAGAAGGTCCCACCACTTCTCTCCAAGCTACAGAGCCCCGCCCCCTCCTCAGTTACACCTGCTGCTAGTCCCGCCCCACAGACACTACGATAGGCCAGCCCTCAGAGCCCATTCTTCCATTGGGCAGACAACCTGTCTCTTCTACGCCACGTCTCCCGGCTCCAGCGAAAGCGGCCCGGGCCGCGGCCTATGGCACTAGAGAGAATTGAGTTGGGGGCTGTACCTGGAAGGGGTTTACGTCCACTGGGTCTGCGAAGGGGTTGGTGTCGAAGGACGACATGGCGGTCGGGGGCGGACAAGCGAGCTCCGCCAATGCTTCTGCCTCCGGGCACCCAGACCCAGCGGCGCTCTCGGTGCAGACCCTCCACTTCCGGGAGCGAAGCAGCCGTTCTGGCGCAGGCGCGGCGCCCTCTCAGGGGGCGTGGTCCTTGACGTCACAGAGATCCGCCCCGCCCTCCCGTCCAGCCCACTACAGAGCGGCGGGTGGGCGTTCGGCTTCTATTTGTTCCGCACTTTCCATTGCTCCTTATCCGAGCTCACTTGTGCTCCGCACTGGGGACGGCACCCAGGCTCGAGGGAGCGGGAGCCGGAGACGTTATCCAGTAGCCTCTCCAATTTCCTCTTTCCAACTTCGTTTTGGAAAATTCCCAAGTAAACTCTGCTAAGTGGAGTCGGAAAGTTAAATCCTTAATTTCCCTCGAGGGCAAGTTTGGAAAGTCGCACTGGTCCAGGCAGGAGACAAGTGTTGGCCCATTTCGGCGGGAGTGGGGAACGGAGTTCCTGACCCGAAAGGACTTCGCTGAGCTAGGCGAGGATTCTGGTGGTAGAGCCCAGCAGAGGGGTTCTTGGAAGAACCGACCATGCGCATCTGTCCCACACAGGTGCTGAGCTCTGATTCTTTTTAGGTCTTGCCCTCTGCGGTCAAGTTTTATCGATTTAGTGATGAGGATCCCTGAGCCCAAGACTGTTTTAGGGTCTGAGATGGGATTTGAATCTGGACATCAAGCATTTGTTAAATGAATGTTAAATAAATTTGTTAACATTTCAGCAATGGAGGAGATGCTCTCCACTACCCTTATTTCTTCATATTCTTCTGCTTCGTTCATTTGTGCTGCCACCGAATCCAGTCACTATCATTCCTTACCCAGCTCTGGTACAGGGCTGCTAATTGGTCTATTGTTGTTTATGTTGTAACTAAAGATCGCTTTAAAGGGAACAAAATACTATAAAATATTATAACAATACCATTTATTTAAAATATTATTATAAAACATTATTATAAAAGTATTATTATAAAATAATATCATATTATTTTAAACATTACTGCTTAAAGTCCTTCAATTATTTTCCTTAAAGGCCCCAATTCTTGTATGGCCTCTAGGTCCTTTAGGACCCGCACCTATCCAGCCCTGCTAGTGGCTTTTCAGTTCCTCAAACTTCCCTTGTTCCCTCCTACCTGGGAACCTTTGCCCATAAAGTTCCCTCTTCCTGCTATGCTTTTAGCCCATGCTCTCATCAACCCTAGTTAACCTCTACTTATCCTTTTATCCAAGCTCAGATGCCCCATCTTCAGGAGTGGCCTCTCCACTCTATACGTTAGATCACCTCCGCCCACCACAACAAATGCTTATATTACCTTGTAGTTTTGCTTCATAAGAGGTATTGCAAATTGTAAGTATATACTCGTATTAGTGGTTATCTGTTTATGTCTATCTCTCCCACTAGACTATAAACTCCACAAGGGCAGGAGTAAGGTCTGTTTTGCTCACTGTTACATTTCTGGCACTAACATAGTACCAAGAACATGATAGGTAATAAGTAAATATTTACTGTTTACCTCACCCACTTTTCTTACCTTCCTCTTTACTGTCTAAATTCCAGCTTCTCCCAGAAGGCTCAAATGGCTGGGGGAGTGGGGATGAGGAGAAGGAGAGGTATTCAAAGGTAGGAGGTATGTGAGATGTGCTGTTTGTAGGATTCTTGTATTTTCCATTTTATTATTCCTTAGTGTATGCTGAAGCTTCCTGTGAAGTGCAGGCTGATTTATCTGAGCCAGGGGACCCTAGGGGAGGGGGATGTCCACAGCCAGGCAGAACATTTCAGAGAAAACAGCACTTCTTCTTTCCGCTGGGCATGTGAGGTAGAGATTTTGCAAATTGGGGAAGGGGCAGAGGGAAGCACAATCAGGACTGCAGTCCCTCATTCCAGGTATCTCAACTGGCTGCCCTCCTCCTGGGCTGCTGACTGAGGTCCAGATGTCAGGGCCTATTTCCAGAGGATTTAGCAACATTACTCCCCAAACAAGGCCCAGCCCAGCCTTCAGCGTGCAGAGCTCCAGGCGATTCTCCCTGGCTTGTGTGTGTGTGACATGTGAGCAGCTCAGCCTGGAGGAGCGACTGGGGTTTTGCGTCTGCAGTACTTAGGGCAGGGAGGATCGGAGGAGCACCAAGCACTGACTGCCTTCCTGCACCTCACACCATCTCATCTCACTCTCCCACACACCTGTCAGGCTGACATTGTTATCTCCATTTTATAGAGGAAGAAACTGACACTGAGGTGGTTAAGGGCCTTGCATGTGACATTTACCATCATCAAGCATCAGTGAGTCCCTACTTAGATCACAGCAATTCTTTGCTACTGACTGAACTACTCAGTAAAACCTGACGTTCTCACAATAGCCTGCGAAGTTCTGCCCACTGCCTTTCTTCTCTGACCACCCCACGTGTACCCTGCACCCACACACATGCTCACTCTGCTCCACACACTCATTGGCCTCTCCGCTCTTTACTCCAGAATAGGAGAGGCACATTCCCAGGTGCCCAAGTTCCCATCGTGGAGTCTTTGCTCAAGCTATTTCTTCTGCCAGAACATTCCTCCTCACCTCTAAGTCTGTGCTCAAGCCTCCCCTCCTCAGTGAGACCAAGACATTTAAAATTCTGCAAACAGCTTCCCACTCTCACCCCCCCCTTACTTTCTGTGGCACTTATCTTTCAACATACCATGTGATTTACTTATTTATTATACTTATTTATTTGCCCGTCTTCCCTTCACCAGAATGTAAGCTCTATAAAGGCAAAGGGATCTTTGTCTTGCTCTCGGCTGTATCGTCAGCCCATGGCAATTTGCCAGTGCTCAGTAAATTTGTGTCCGGTGAAGGAACGAACGAATGAATACTGAGACCCAGGACTGTGGGCAGGAAGTCTCTGGGCTGCTGGAGGCTCCTTCCTCGTGACAGCTGGAGCCAGAAAAAGTGTTCGGAGTTCGGGGAGTGTTCTTGCAAGGCGCAAGAGCCTCCAAGAAGGCTCTCGAGGAACTACATTTCCCATGAAGCTCTGGGAGCAGTAGGGCCGCGGGTGCTGACGGGAAGGGCATACGTGCCAGAGGCCTGGGCCGGTACCCGGAGGATGGCGGTTCAGAAAGGTGGGCTGCGGACTGGGGTGCTGACGGGAACGTGGGGGTGGGTTGCGTCGCGGGGATCTTTCCCGACCTGATATGCCAGGTGGGACCAGGCTTGTGACTCTGCGGAAAGACGGATGGGCTCTGGACAGAGGAGGGGGCACCTGCGATAGGGATTGAGCCATTATTTCAGCGCTCGCAGGAGAGTCTTGAGGGGAGGAGCCGCGCGTGGGTCACTTCGAGACGGCGTGTCCTGCAAGAGGTTCCTCCCGCTCCCTTCCCGTCCCTCCACACAACTATCTCCCTCACGTCTGCGGAGAAGCCTTACTGTCCGCTTTACAGATGGGAACATCTCGCCTGCGGAGAAGGGTCCCAACAACCTACAGACCCCTTATTTGACTTTGTCCCCCAGACAGAACCCTCAGCCCGTGTCTAGTTTTCCCAAGACCGTAGGGTCAGGCCTCAGGAGTGGAGTGGAAGCTGACCCACTGTTTCTGCTTCCCTGCCCCCAGTATTCCCGCTTTCCTGTACGGTGCAGCACTATGCCTGGGGGAAGATGGGTTCCAGCAGTGAAGTGGCTCGGCTGCTGGCCAGCAGTGACCCACAGGCCCAGATCTCAGAGGACAAGCCATATGCGGAGGTGAGACCCGGGTTGTATTTCACCTTATATATATTTTTAAATTTTATTTATTTATTAGAGAGCGCAGAGTGTGAGAGAGCAGGAGTTGGGAGGAGCAGAGGGAGAGAAGCCGGCTCCTTGCTGAGTGGGGAGCCCAAGGCAGGGCTCCATCCCAGGCAATGACAGAGCCGCCCAGGAGCCCCTGTATTTCACTTTAACAGCAGGTGAGACCAAAGGGATTTCTCCTTTCAGAGGGCCTGGGGTAAGTCATGTGGATAAGCTGGGAGAGGGAAGCAGCAAAGAGGGAGGAGGCTATTCTTGGCTCTTCAGATCCCAGAAAGTGATGAATCCAGATGGCAGCACCAAAAGAAGAGAGGTTTTGTCATCATAGGCCGATTTCTGGTACCCTCTCCCTGCCCCCCGCCCCAAGAACTCTCAGCACTTACTGAATTTTAATTCAACCCTCTTGGACAATTAAAATTTTTACTTTGACTAGGTTTTACATTTTAATAGCCTAATATATGTATTTTTCTTGCTCATTTAGGTGAGATAAAGCCAAAGCATTGTAAGGCCTCCACTTTTAAGATTGGAATAAGTGAATGTTAACACTTCCCAGAGCCATCTGAGAGAGATTTTTAGTGACCTTGACAGTGCAGGTGTCATTCTCATTGGACAGATGAGAGCATTGAGACCGACTGACTAGAAGTAACTAGCCCAGGCCTCCACATCTGGTTGCAAGCAGAGCCTGAACTGGGTCTCTGCACTACTGGTGTCCTGGGGTCTGCTGCTTTCCTGTATGCCTGTGATGGCATGAACATTTACACCCAGGCATGGGAGGCTCCATTCAGGATTCAGGTTGGTGGTGCCAGGTTCTTCCTCTTTCCCTCTCAAGTTTCCTGTTTTTCCAGTTGTGGATGGGGTCCCACCCCCGGGGAGATGCCAAGATCCTCGACAATCGCTTCTCACAGAAGACCCTAAGCCAGTGGATCTCTGAGAACCAGGACTGCTTGGGCTCAAAGGTCAAGGAGACCTTTGATGGCAAGCTGCCCTTCCTCTTCAAAGTACTCTCGGTTGAAACGGCGCTGTCCATCCAGGCACACCCTAACAAGGTATAGGACCGGAGTGGGGTGCAGAGGTCAAGGTACAGCAGAACTCATGTCAAGGCCCTCCCCCTACTTTTACTGCTGCGTTTTACCCCACCCACGCTGCACTCCAGCCCAAAGCTAAATCCAGCCCTAACGACTCCCAATTTAGCTCTGGAAGGCTGGATGTTGGTGATACAGGTTGGCAGCTAAGTCTCAGTGGACAGCTGACCAGCCCGTGTCAGAGAGCTGCTCCATGCACTTCCCTGGGTTCCCCTCATGCAACCCAGGACTATTCATA